AAGTAGCAATTGTCACAACAGTTACATACTTTGCGATAAATAGTAACTTGGCTTCAATAATCGCCCTGTTATGTGTCTAATAGGTTTATTTCCTATGATTTCCAGCTCCATCTAGTGGCCACCATGTAGCACACCCCAATCAGCAAAATACTGCATTGTGGCCACTAGATGGAGCTGCTGATCACAGAGCTGATTTTGTGGAGTACCCCTTCAAATTTCCTCTGTCGGGAAGCGTCGCTCTGATTCTGTCCATTCCGGTAATTGCGCATTTAGCGGTTCGGGATCTCCTGGAAATGTTTTTTTTTCTCCTTTTATTATTATTATTATTATTATTATTATTATTATACAGTATTTATAAAGCGCCAATAGTTGGCTCAGCGCTGTACATTACAAAGGGGGACAGAACATGTGACAGAACAATACCAATACAATGCAAAACATGAGGGGATCGAGGGCCCTGCTCCTTGGAGCTTACAATCTAGGAGGGAGGGGATGGTGGTACAGGAGGAGATAGCTGTGGGGGATGGAGTGGTAGGAAGAGTGGAGGAGGTCGGCAAGTTAGCAGGGGGTGGGGTAGGCTTCCCTGAAGAGATGGGTTTTCAGGGTGCGCCTAAAGGAGAGGAGAGTAGGTGATAATCTGATGGGTTGAGGCAGGGAGTTCCAGAGGATGGGTGACACCCTAGAGAAGTCCTGGAGGCGGGCATGGGAGGAGGAGACCAGGGAACTAGAGAGAAGGAGGTCTTGTGAGGAGCGGAGTGTGCGTGTTGGGCGGTACTTGGATATCAGGTCAGTGATGTAGTTCGGGGCAGTATGGTGGACAGCCCCTTTAATAAGGTCGGAGCGATTCCAGTCCCCCCCCCCCCCCCCCCCCCCGCCTTCTAGAACAGCGCACTGTTTATCGTTTAATTTGCGTTTACAGGATGGCGGCCGACATCAAGACGTTGAGAGAGGAATACAGGCAGCTGAACCGATCCTGCTTCATCCTGGGTGCGTCCGGGGAGACGGGGAAGGAGCTGCTGAAAGAGATCGCGCAGAGTCGCCTGTACAGCAGAATCACGCTGATTGGACGCCGCAAGATGGACTACGAAGACGAGGCGTATAGGGATCTGGTAAGAGCCCACCGGGGGGCCACCTACCTCCCGTCCCAGACCGAAAGTTTATTGTTTTTGTTGTTGATCAAATAGATACTTTTGAACCCTTTTGCTGCCACGCCCATTTTTGACGTTTACTGCAGCGCACATTTTGTACTTTCACTTCAACTCTCTCCATCATCGCGGACTATTTGTGATCCGTATGCTGCGAGCGTTAGTAAATAGATAGGAAGGTTTATTATATTTACTTGCTTTTTGCCCTCCAGAGGACCCCCCCTCCCCCTTCTGACCAGGCCTTTTTTTGCGTTACGGCGCTGCGTTACTTTAACTGACAATTGCGCAGTCATGCAACTCGGCACTTTAAGGAGATGTCAGGGGCCTATTAGACCTCCTAATGTCACCTCCTGCACCCTGTTGAAGCTGATGAGCTCAGGTTGTGTCTGATGGCACTTCCTTGGAAAGAGCAGCCAGCCCTAACTTTCCTACCCTACAGCCCCACCTTTCTTACCATACAACTTTACCCTTTCTGTCCTACAGCCCCATCCTTCCTACCCTACATCCCTACCCTTCATACCTTACATCCCTACCCTTCATACCTTACAGCCCTACCCTTCCTACCCTACAGCCCCACCTTTCCTACCCTACAGCCCTACCCCTACAGCCCCACCCTTTCTACCCCACAGCCCCACCTTTACTACCCTTAGACCTACCCTACAAACTTCACTACCCTTTCCTACCCTACAGCCCCACCTTTACTACCCCCATTTCCTACCCCATAGACCTACCCTTCCCACCCTACATCCCTACCCTTTCCACCCTACATCCCTACCCTTCCTACCCTACAGCCCCACCTTTCCTACCCCACAGTCCTACCCTTCCTGTCCTACAGCCCCACCTTTCCTACCCCTTAGCCTCACCCTTCCTACCCCACAGCCCTACCCTTCCTACCCCACAGCCCTACCCTTCCTATCCCTTAGCCTCACCCTTCCTACCCCACAGCCCTACCCTTCCTACCCCACAGCCCTACCCTTCCTACCCCACAGCCCTACCCTTCCTACCCAGCCCCACCCTTCCTATCCTAGAGCCCTACCCTTCCTACCCTACAACCCCACCCTTCCCATCCTACAGCCCTACCCTTCCTACCCCACAGCCCCACCCTTCCTATCCTACAGCCCCACCTTTCCTACCCCATAGCCCAAGCCATCATACCCTAAAGCCTCACCCTTCCTGTCCTACAGCTCTAAACTTCTTAACCTACAGCTCTGCCCTTCCTACCCTACAGCCTGACCCCTCTTACCTTTCCTATCCTATGAGCTCAGGTTATGTCCTGGATAGAGCAGACAGGGCTTTACAGCTCAGAACCCAGAAGTGTTCTACAGCCCTAACTTTACCCTACAACCCTTCCCCCTACTACAACCCTTCCCTTCCTACCCTACAACCCTTCCCTTCCTACCCTACAGCACTACCCTTCCTGTCCTACAGCCCCACCTATCCTACCCCATAGCCTTAGCCTTGCTACCCTACAGCCCTACACTTCCTAACCTACAGCCCCACTCCTCCTACCTTACCTATCGTATGAGCTCAGGTTGTGTCCAATCAGCATTTTGCTTGGATAGAGCAGCCAGGGTTTTACAGCTCTGAACCTAAAAGTGTTCTACAGCCCTAAGTTTCCTACCCCACAGCCCTACTCTTGCTACCCCACAGCCCTACTCTTGCTACCCCACAGCCCTACTCTTGCTACCCCACAGCCCTACTCTTGCTACCCCACAGCCCTACTCCTGCTACCCCACAGCCCTACTCCTGCTACCCCACAGCCCTACTCCTGCTACCCCACAGCCCTACTTTTGCTACCCCACAGCCCTATTCCTGCTACCCCACAGCCCTACTCCTGCTACCCCACAGCCCTATTCCTGCTACCCCACAGCCCTACTTTTGCTACCCCACAGCCCTACTTTTGCTACCCCACAGCCCTACTTTGCTACCCCACAGCCCTATTTTTGCTACCCCACAGCCCTACTCTTGCTACCCCACAGCCCTACTCTTGCTACCCCACAGCCCTACTTTGCTACCCCACAGCCCTACTCCTGCTACCCCACAGCCCTACTCCTGCTACCCCACAGCCCTACTTTTGCTACCCCACAGCCCTACTTTTGCTACCCCACAGCCCTACTTTTGCTACCCCACAGCCCTACTTTTGCTACCCCACAGCCCTACCTGCTACCCCACAGCCCTACTCTTGCTACCCCACAGCCCTACTCTTGCTACCCCCACAGCCCTACTCCTTGCTACCCCACAGCCCTACTCCTGCTACCCCACAGCCCTACTCTTGCTACCCCACAGCCCTACTTTTGCTACCCCACAGCCCTATTCCTGCTACCCCACAGCCCTACTTTTGCTACCCCACAGCCCTACTTTTGCTACCCACAGCCCTACTGCTGCTACCCCACAGCCCTACTCTTGCTACCCCACAGCCCTACTCTTGCTACCCCACAGCCCTACTCTTGCTACCCCACAGCCCTACTTTTGCTACCCCACAGCCCTACTTTGCTACCCCACAGCCCTACTCCTTTTGCTACCCCACAGCCCTACTTTTGCTACCCCACAGCCCTACTCTAGCTACCCCACAGCCCTACTCTTGCTACCCCACAGCCCTACTCCTGCTACCCCACAGCCCTACTCCTGCTACCCCCACAGAACTACTGCTGCTACCCCACAGCCCTACTCTTGCTACCCCACAGCCCTACTTTTGCTACCCCACAGCCCTACTCTTGCTACCCCACAGCCCTACTCTTGCTACCCCCAGCCCTACAGCCCCACACTACTCTTGCTACCCCACAGCCCTACTCCTGCTACCCCACAGACCTACTCTTGCTACCCCCACAGCCCTACTCCTGCTACCCCACAGCCCTACTCCTGCTACCCCACAGCCCTGCTCCTGCTACCCCACAGCCCTACTCCTGCTACCCCACAGCCCTACTCTTGCTACCCCACAGCCCTACCTGCTACCCCACAGCCCTACTCTTGCTACCCCACAGCCCTACTCTGCTACCCCACAGAACTACTCCTACCCCACAGCCCTACTCCTGCTACCCCACAGCCCTACTCCTGCTAGACCCTCTTGCTACCCCACAGCCCTTCTCCTGCTACCCCACAGCCCTGCTCCTGCTACCCCACAGCCCTGCTCCTGCTACCCCACAGCCCTGCTCCTGCTACCCCACAGCCCTACTCCTTGCTACTCCATAGCCTACTCCTGCTACCCCACAGCCCTACTCTGCTGCTACACTTACCCCACAGCCCTACTCCTAGCTACCCCACCCCACACTCTAGCTACCCACAGCCCTACTCCAGCTACCCCACAGCCCTACTCCTGCTACCCCACAGCCCTACTCCTGCTACCCCACAGCCCTACTCCTAGCTACCCCACAGAACTACTCTTGCTACCCCACAGCCCTACTCCTGCTACCCCACAGAACTACTCTTGCTACCCCACAGCCCTACTCTTGCTTCCCCACTGCCCTACCCTACAGCCCCATCCTTCCTACTTTACAGCCCCCTCACTTTCCCACCCCGTTGAAGCTGATGAGCGCAGGTTGTGATAGGGAGTTTTACAGCTCTAAACCTAGAAGGGCTTAGAGCTGACTGATTCCAGGTTCAGGTTCATATGTGTTTGAGGGAGATTTCCTTTTAACATCTGTCCTGAAACACAACAGGAAGTGGGAAGAAATCTCCCCCAAGTGAAGGGAATATCCTCTGTTCCTGTTTTGATGACAACTGTAAGATTTTGGATATCCTTCCCAAATAATGAATCTCCCTACTGGTGACAAAGACCACAACAACTCCCCCCCATCAAATATATCCTCTCTAATTTGTCACTATTGTGTGTTGTGTATTTACACCCGTCCTGTTCTCCAGGTCCAGGAGGTGGTGGATTTCGAGAAGTTGGATGATTATGCTGCAGCCTTCCAGGGACATGACGTGGGGTTCTGTTGCCTGGGGACTACAAAAGCCAAATCCGGAGAGGTGAGCAGAGAGGGACGGCCCTTGGCCGTGACAGATGATATCGGTGTAATACAAGGAGAGGTTTGATCCTTTGTGACACACAACTCCATCGATATGGAACACTCCTTATAGAAGGGGAGGGAGAAGGGCTGCTCGTGGTCAAAGGGCCACACAAATCTCGTCAGAATGGCTGCTGGTGTGGAATTGTTGGCCTGGTAATCACAAAAAGGAGGGATTATGGGAAGGAATTCAAAGGTAGCCGTCATAATGGTTCTATAGTTCTACTCTTCCTGTCGTACCTGCCGTTTCTTCCTACCCTTCCTATCCTATTGCTCCATCCTTCTTATCTTACAGCTCCACCCTTACCTACCCTACAGCTCCACCCTTCCTACCCTACAGCAGTACCCTTCCTATTATACCTGCCCTATTCTTCCTACCATTCAGCCTTGCCCTTCCTACCCTACAACTTCACCCTCTCTACTCTATCCTTCCCACCCTACAGCCCTACCCCTCCCACCCTACAGCCCTACGCTTCCAACCCTACCCTACAGCTCCACCCTTCCTACCCTACAGCCCTACCCCTCCCACCCTACAGCCCTACCCTCCCACCCTACCTTTCCTTCCAAGCTCCTACCCTTCCTACCCTACAGCTCCTACCCTTCCCACCCTACAGCCCTACCCCTCCCACCCTACAGCCCTACGCTTCCAAACCCTACCCTTCCTACCCTACAGCTCCACCCTTCCTACCCTACAGCCCTACCCCTCCCACCCTACAGCCCTACGCTTCCAACCCTACCCTTCCTACCCTACAGCCCTACCCTTCCCACCCTACAGCTCTACCCCTCCCACCCTACAGCCCTACGCTTCCAACCCTACCCTTCCTACCCTACAGCTCCACCCTTCCTACCCTACAGCCCTACCCTTCCTACCCTACAGCCCTACCCTTCCTACTCTACAGCAGTACCCTTCCTATTGTACCTGCCCTATTCTTCCTACCATTCAGCCTTGCCCTTCCTACCGTACAACTCCACCCTCCCTACCCTACCCTATGCACCCCACAGCTCTACCCTTCCCACCCACCCTACCGCCCTACCCTTCTTACTCTACAGCCTTACCCTTGCTACTGTACAGTCCTACCCTTCCTGTCATACTTGCCCTATTCTTCCTACCATTCAGCCTTACCCTTCCTATCTTACAGCTCCACCTTTCCTACCCTACATCCCTACCCTTCCTACTCTACAGTCCTACCCTACTCACCCTACAGCTCTACCCTACCCACCCTACAACTCTACCCTACCCACCCTACAGCTCTACCCTACCCACCCTACAACCCTACCCTACAGCCCTACCCTTCCTACTCTACAGACCTACCCTTCCTACTCTACAGACCTACCCTTCCTACTCTACAGCCCTACCCTACCCACCCTACAGCCCTACCCTACCCACCCTACAGCCCTACCCTACAGCCCTACTCTTCCTATCGTATTTACCCTATTCTTCCTACCATTTAGCCTTAGCCTTCCTACCCTATAGCTTCACCCTTCCTATCTTACAGCTCCACCTTTTTACCCTACCCTTCCCAAAACACTACCCTTCCCAACCTACAGCCCTACCCTTCCCACCCTACAGCCCTATCCTTCCCACCCTACAGCCCTATCCTTTCTACTCTACAGCCCTACCCTTCCTACTCTACAGCCCTACCCTACCCTACCCACCCTACAGCCCTACCCTACCCACCCTACAGCCCTACCCTACCCACCCTACAGCCCTATCCTACCCACCCTACAGCCCTACCCTACCCACCCTACAGCCCTACCCTACCCTACCCACCCTACAGCCCTACCCTACCCACCCTACAGCCCTACCCACCCACCCTACAGCCCTACCCTTCCTACTCTACAGCCCTACCCTTCCTATTGTATTTGCCCTATTCTTCCTACCATTCAGACTTACCCTTCCTGCCCTATAGCTCCACCCTTCCTATTTTACAGCTCCACCTTTCCTACCCTGAAGCTCTACAATACCCACCCTACAGCCCTCTCCTACCCTGTCCTATTCTTCTTATCTTACAGCCACACACTTCATACTGTAGAGCTCTTCTCTTCCTACCCTACATCCCTACCCTTTCTACCCTACAGCTCTACCATTCATAGCCTACAACCCTACCCTTCCTCCGACAGAGCTCCACCCTTCCTACATTAGAGCACCTCCCTTCCTACCTTAGGGTTCCACCCTTTCTACCCTACAGCCCCACCCTTCTTAACCTATGGAACAGAATAAAGCGGTACCAACTGCAATTTTCCTCTGTTGGTAGTTTAAGTGCATCAAAAGCCAAAACCTTTAGGCCTCATGCACACTGCTGCTCCTAAAGGTGAGTTTAGGAGTTTTTGGCATTTTTTTTTTTTTTGTCAAAGCCTCTAAACTCAACTCAATAAAAGCCTATCTGTCCATACACACAGAGGCTTTTACCAGAGTTTAGGGGAGTTAAATGCCCCTCTACTGAGCGGAGAAGAATCGTGTTCAGGAAAGGAATGTTTTGGTTAAAAAAAATGGCAAAAGTGGCAAAAACGCACCTAAGCACTAACCATGTTTTAGCATTTAGGCATTTATTCATTTCATTGGCAAGTACTCTGGCTAATGAAATAAATAAATGTCCAAGCACTAAATGCGGCTAAACACGGCTAATTGTGTTACACAGTTTTTTGAGCATTTTTCTGCTGCAACCTCTAGGGGAGTTCCAGTGTACATGTAACCTTAGTTTTTGGCTTCAGATATACTTCAGTGTACCCACGCAGGTGTAGAGGACGGGATATAGAGTGTGTATGGTAGAGGTACCACTGAGGGCCATATTGGTGTGTGTGGGCCACTCGAACAATTACCCCTTGTGCTCCCTGAACAATACAGGCAGTATAGTGGGAAGGGCTCTGAAATATGAAAAAACAGCTGAATGCAGCCACCGCTCTGCCAGATCTTGGAAGTAGTAATGATGGAGTAGCAGAGTGCAGTCAGAGCAGCCGGTCCTTCAGATATTAGATAACAAAGGGAGCAAATCAGCTACACTGACTGATAATGAGAGATCAAAGGTCTGTCTGATATCAAACACTAAAGCTACATAGACAGTGAAAGGTGAACTTAGACCTCACCTCCAGTCTTGCACAATTGTACCGCCTTCTCCCCTTCAGTCTTCCACAGGTGTACCGGCCCCCCCTTCAGTCTTGCACAGGTGTACCGGCCCCTCGCCTTCAGTCTTGCACAGGTGTACTGTCTCCTCCCCTTTAGTCTTGCACAGGTGTACCGGCTCCTCCCCTTTAGTCTTACACAGGTGTACCGGCTCCTCCCCTTCAGCCTTGCACAGGTGTACCGGCCCCTCCCCTTCAGTCTTGCACAAGTGTACTGGCTCCTCCCCTTCAGTCTCGCAGAGGTGTACCAGCTCCTCCCCTTCAGTCTTGCACAGATGTACTGGATCCTCCCCTTCAGTCTCACACAGATGTACCGGCTCCTCCCCTTCAGTCTTGCACAGATGTACTGGATCCTCCCCTTTAGTCTTGCACAGGTATACCGGCTCCTCCCCTTCAGTCTTACACATGTGTACCGACTCCTCCCCTTCAGCCTTGCACAGGTGTACCAGCTCCTCCCCTTCAGTCTTGCACAGGTGTACCGGCTCCTCCCCTTCAGTCTTGCACAGGTGTACCGACTCTTCCCCTTCAGCCTTGCACAGGTGTACCGACTCCTCCCCTTCAGTCTTGCACAGGTGTACCGGCTCCTCCCCTTCAGTCTTGCACAAGTGTACCGGCTCCTCCCCTTCAGTCTTGCACAGGTGTAGCGGCTCGACAGCTGAGGGGAGCCCCCCCTCCCACTCCTTTACATTCTTGTCCTCAGACCCCTCCATCCTCCTTCAGGCTCCTGTCCTCAGACCCCCATTATATCACCCCCCTCCTCCTTCAGACTCATGTCCTCAGTTGCCCCTTTAAATCCCCCCTGGCTTCCTCCCCATCCTTCATAGCAGTGGTATAGCCCACTCCCCTTTCCTATCTTACACAGGGCTGAGGATGGGAGACAAAGCAGGTCCAGAGATGACATCGGGAGGCAGGACAGCGCTGAATGGAGCACTGGAGCTTCACATTTCCTGTTAACCAGCTTATGACTGGTTGCTAGGACCGCCATGTGTCCTAGAAACCGATCACCTGCTGCCTAATTTGGCAGCTCCTGCCCTCTTCCAGAACTGTCATGCCTCCCGATGTCAGCCTGTGGTAGATGTCAGTGGTGACGACAGCTGAGGGGAACAAACTGCTCCTGAATGGCAAGGCCGCAGCAGTCTGGGTTGGACAGGGACTCGGTCCGAATCCAGACCGCGGTCCACCATTTAGTGAAGCCTGCTATAGAGTGTCACTAGTGTGACAGCTGTGGGTCTTCTGGGGCTGCTGACATCACATCCAAGATGGCAGCACCCAGGAGTAGTCCTAGATGTCTACAAAAGGGAGCCTTCTACAGGTAAGGTCTGGTTCACACCATAAAGGTGCATCCGTGTGTTTGTTCATGTTCCCACGCATTTCTCAGCAGCCTTATCATTTCAAAGGGCTGCCTAACATGCAGAAAGACGTAAAAAGTACTGCAGGATTTCAGTCCTTGTCGGCGTAGTGTGTTACCAATTGTTTTCTTGGTGACTGTGGTCCCAGCTGCCTGGAGATCATTGACAAGATCCTCACGTGTAGTTCTGGGATGATTCCTCACTGTTCTCATGATCATTGACACTCCACGAGGTGAGATCTTGCATGGTGCACCAGACCTAGGGAGACTGACACTTGTTTTGTGTTTCTTCCATTTGTGAATGATTGCACCAACTGTTGTCACCTTCTCACCAAGCTGCTTGGCCATAGTTTGGTAGCCCAGTCCAGCCTTGTGTAGGTCTACCATCTTGTCCCTGACATCCTTGGACAGCTCTTTGGTCTTTGCCATGGTGGAGAGTTTGGAATCTGATGGTTTGATGTCTCCTGTGGACAGGTGTCTTTTATACAGGGAAC